TCTAAGCTTACAGTGAAGTTCCTCTTATGTTATTTCAGCTACAGCTCTTTGTTATCTGGTGCTCTGACCAATGACCGCATGCTTTTTTTTGTATAATTCTTAACCATAACTTAACCTTGCTTATTTAGCAGCATAATTTCTGCCCAGAGCTCACTGGAAGTGATCTGTGAATGTTTTCTTGGTGTTATTTGTTCATTGCTGATTAACAGCTACTCTAACACTTCCTTATCCTTTTTACGTGCAGCTCTAGATGGAGTTCCCTTCAGCCTCAACCCAGATTTTGATCTGCAAGCAAACGGCATGGTATGGTTTTCTCTTTCTTGAAATATTTAAAAAAACAAGATATAGATTGAAAATTCTGTGTCTTTGCTAGATTTTCTTTCTCTCTTGCATATAACAGAGCTTTGCACAAATATTTAAACCCCTTGGACCTTACCATATTCTGTCATATAACAAGTACAAACTTATACTCTATCTTTTTATGTAACCTCTCGGTTCCACTGGATGTGGATTTCAACTACGCTGCAGCATTTCACAGACACCATCTTCCACAAGGAGCGTTTTCAAAATGGAGCGACTGCATGGTTGGACTCTGATTAGTCAGGATTGCATCACTGCACTATAGTAGTGTACTTGTAGTATTTAAAAAGAACAATTAATTAGAAAAGTAGCTCTACCAAAGTCTTTCATGCCTGCTCTTTATTTAATGTTTTTAATGTTAGGTGAGTTCACATATGTAGGGTTTTTCTTTTGATTTCTTGGTCATATTTATGACGGCTGTCGTTTACCTGTAGTAACGTAATTGTTCATTACATAGAGGTCAGGGAAATGCAATCCAAAGTCTGCACATGTTGTGTTTTACTTCTAATCTTGACCGCATCCGCTTTACCTCATCAACTGAATTCATGCCTGAACAATCCACTCTGCTCCAGAATAACGTGGATTTGACAAACAGCTAAAATAGAGAATTATTATAGAACGCCATGACCCTTCCAGTGAAACCACTCTGATTGGCTAGAATCGCTTCGATCAGTCGTGACAAGCCTGGCAGTGCACCACTGCGGTGCACACGCCTATTGCCACTTACAGTGGAACCGAGAGGTAACAAACCAGCATTAAGTAGTTATTCTTTACAGATTTTTGACAAAGTCTGAAATGTGTGGCACACTTTTAAATGTAGCTACGGTGGCCCTGAAGTGCAAACTGCAACTACAAATCTAAAAGCGCAACTACATAAAGCATAGCGCAACTACATTAAGAAAAACAAAACTACTTAAAGCAAAGCGCAACTACATTAAGGAAACATGGGTGCTAACTGAAATTCCGTGATTAGTCCTGAGCATATCCAGTATCACCTCGTACGTATGTCCTGATTCAAAATATTCCTGGATAACAGCAGCTATGTTTGGGGCGCCGACAATATCCATTTTTTCAAAAGCCGCAGCAGGCAGAATGACTTCCGGTTCAAGGGTCAAACGGCCCCGTCGTCCAATCAGAGATGTCTCATGTTTCCCACTGGTACCTACCTTTTCCGGTAGGTTAACGTAATTGTGTTTTCCTTAATGTAGTTGCGCTTTGCTTTATGTAGTTTTGTTTTCCTTAATGTAGTTGTGCTTTTAGATTTGTAGTTACAGTTTGCACTTCAGGGCCACCGTATGTAGCAGCTACAGATAGTGACAGAAGGGAGAGCATTAGACGGCATAAAAGGTCACAGCCTTTTATAATAATACATCTACAGAACTTCTAGAGTGGATCAAAATTAAAAGTGTTTTAGAATCATTTAGTTGCATCCATATTATGTCAGTACTTACTGGTGGTTCAGGGTTCCCGCAGGTCCTTAAAAAGTCTTAAAAGGCATTGAATTCTTCAAAATAAAACTAAGGCCTTAATTGGTATTAAAATGTCTTAAATCAGTCTTTCGTAGGTCTTAATTTTTAAAACATCATAAATAGGATTATTTTTATTACGATTTATTTTTGTAATCTAAATAAAACGTTAAGCCATGGTGTACGCCCTCAGAAGGAAGTGTAGTCTCAGGTTGACCACTTCATCAGCCAAGCTATTTGCTTAGAAAGTCAACTACACGATTTCCAGCCAGGATTTTTTTTTTATTATTCATGTAGAAGCTTTAACGCCAGTTTCTCTAAAGATTTTATGAATACAGACACCAGGGTGACCGGCCTTTGGTAGTTTAATTCTGTAATGCTGGAAGCATGGTGGTATCTCAGACAGCCTGAGAGAATATCTTAGTGAAGATAGGAGGCCAGTTGGTTGATGGGGAGCATTTGTTTGAAATGTAGACTAATTAGTGGGACGTGTGAAGAGCTGCTTGTCAAACCTGTAGTAGAAACTACTAAGGTCATTGTTTTGCTGATCGTTTTATTGTTGAAGTATGAGTTCAATGACCAACATTATCCTGTGGATCAAGGGGTGAGAATATGCAGCTGCCCATTTAGCTTATATTTGTCTCTGCTGCAACCAAAATTCCATTGAAAATTACATGGATGGAAAAACTTGCTTAGAGAGGACCGTCTAAGGTGTAGGAGATCCATGTAGCACTGATAAATATGCACTTATTCATAAAGTGATACGTAGATCAATTGTTCAGGGAAACATCAACATTTGGTTAGAAGCAGCTGGCACAGATAGAAAGATGGCTTCTCCACCTGTTTTTGTATAAACAGTTTTGAAAGCTATTTTTCCCTCTCTTCCAGTTATTACAACGAATTATCCTCTGTCATTTATTGATGTTTGCACAGCATTGAAACCATATAATCACGCTTACTGTGTGTTTACCGTGTTTCTTTAAGGCTCTTCAGATGAATTCCCAGCTAAACGACATCCGCATAAAGTCTGTCAAAGATATTGAAAATGAGGTAGGTTCAAATCTGATACGTGAGTTTAAAGACCTCCTCAAATGCACCATAAATATATATTTTTTTCCACTTTGCCTCTTAGTACAACTACACGTTTGCTGTGGAGGAATCTGCAGCGAAGAGGATCCGACCATCCGTTTCAAAATAAACCGCACATTGATCCTCACAATTTTGTTGCAATGTTAAACAATTTCTGTTACTTTACTGTATTTTTTTGTATGGGATTTTATGAGGTAACAACTTTATGAAGGGTGAAAATGAATGATAACCATTGTTACTTCTAGGTCCATATGTTGAATCTATTATGTAGGAGATCTAAGCCATTTTGTTCTCATGTTTGTTCAGTATAAGAAACAGTTTGTGGAATTGTGTTGCTTCTTTCCTAAGAAAAGAGAAATCCTGGTTGTTTAACTTTACTGGGAGAAGGATGTAATTATGTATATCTTAATAGTTTCAAGTAAACATCTATAGCATTTATTTTATTTTACATGTAGAGATTTTGCTGATGTATTTGAGTCTGAAAAAAAGAACACTACAGATCTTTACCTATTGCCTATTTCCATTTACTGTTCTAGGGCCTTATTATTATTATTATTATTATTATTACTGCTTTTTTGTTTGTTTTTTTGTTTTTTTCCAGGGTTTCTTTTGAGCTTGAAACTTTCCTGATAATGACTCTATTGTTACACTTACATGGTGCAGTTTCTTCAAAGAAAAGCAACATTTGTTAAACCTTTATCACCTCTACTTTCATGGGTTTTTATTAATGTGCTGCTTTGCAAACAGATGTTGGGAATGTTCTGTTAGGCATTTTACAACCAAATACCTGTTGGCAACCAAATTATACTTTTTCAAAAATAAGCACTTATTGTTAGGGAAAAATAAAGATCTAAATAAATGAATCTTGTATGTTTCCCCTATTTTCTGGTTGTTAAACAATAAGATTTGCTCTTTACATAAACAAGATTTTGGAAAGGTTTAAAAACAACAACAAAAAATGTCCTTAGTGTTTGCAGGACAACAAAAAGTGTCCTGCAAACACTAGTGAAAACCTCTCACATAAACTAGACAAAACATTTACCTCTTATTTAACCTACTCAAAAGCTTTCATACACACTACTGAAAAGCTTTAATACACACTACTGAAAAGCTTTCATACACACTACTGAAAAACATTCATATACACTACTAAAAAGCTTTCATATACACTACTGAAAAGCTTTCATACACACTACTGAAAAGTGTTCATACACACTACTAAAAAGCTTTCATATACACTACTGAAAAACGTTCATATACACTACTGAAAGGCGTTCATATACACTACTGAAACGCGTTCATATACACTACTAAAAAGCTTTCATATACACTACTGAAATGCGTTCATATACACTACTGAAGTGTTCATATACACTACTGAAAAGCTTTCATACACACTACTGAAATGCGTTCATATACACTACTAAAAAGCTTTCATACAGACTACTAAAACTATGCTTTTACGTTTTACTAAGCTTTTCACCAATTTATATGAACAGTTCTCACTACTTTGTATGAGAGCTTCTGAGTAAGTTATACAAGAGGTAAATGTTTTCCTAGAATATGTTAAAGCTTTTCACTAGTCTTTATGTACATTTTTCAGTATACTATATGGAAGAGTTTAATTTAATATGTGTATATGGAAGTTAATTCTGATTTATGTCACTGCAGGGCACCTAATAATTTCAAGCTCTTATCATTTATAATTTAGTTTGCAGCTGATATAAAAAACATTTAATTATTAAAAGACTAGAATTTTTCTTTAGAATATTTTTTAAAAATCACCTTTTATTCATATTTTTAATAATTAGTTTAAAAGTCTCTCTTCTCCTTTGTTTTCGCTTCTCTCTTTGTCCCCCAGACGGTTTCCACGCAGTGTGTCTCGTGCGGTTCTGATCCGCAGTACTGTTTGTTCAGTGACGGCTAATTTGCAGAACTGCAGCCCCTGCTGCAGAGCTTCAACAACAGAGCCCTGCTTGTTCGGCTTTCCGGAAAACCAGCTCTGATTCCAAACAGCTGTTTCCCGCCTCACACAGATCAGCTGCACACACACACACACACACACTCGGACGTAGTAGGCGGAGGCTGGAAGCAACACACACACACACGCGCGCGCGCTAGAGGAAACCCCATCAGCTGTGGAAAGAAACACAGCTCGAATTTACTTTTCGCTTCTCTTTCCCTCGTTCTCAGACTGGAATCCATATATCGGGTGTTTAGGAGTTTCAAAGAGCGAAGGACGCGTTCAGAGTGTTGTGATACAAAGGAGAAACCAAAATAGTTTAAACGGGGACGCGAATAGGAAGGGGGAGAAAACAGTAAAAGCGGACTACAGAAGGTGGCTTTGAAAGCATGGACTATGTCAGGATGCCGACAGAGAAGATAACATCCCTGCAGCACTTCAAACGGACGGAGAAGGATGTTATCGGAGGACTGTGCAGGTGCGTAACCGCGAGAAATGAATGGTTATTTTTGATACAGCGATGCCATGAGCATGAATGATTTGTTTCATGTGGCCGCAGCGTGTGTGGATGTGTGCGCGCGCGGTATGGAGGGGGTTATCGCATGCTAGCTGTTAGCTACTTACAGCTGGAATCTGCTAAAAAAATGGCAGCCAATAACTATGCTATTTACATTTTTTCACTCAATGCGATTTATTTAAATAGGTGAAACCATATGGATAGGATTTGTTTGAAGGAGCGAGGTGGAGTGGACGCATTGATGTCCAGATGGACGCCAACCACGTGGTGGATACCGTGATTGCTACTGTCGCACTAAACAACTCTATGTTTTTTAAAATCTAACGTTTCCCCACTGCTGAACACCAACAGTTTATTTCTGGATAGACACGTAAAGCTTTGGATCAATCGTTAGGTTTTCAGCTTTGGCATTTCTGTGTTTGAACAGCTGCTCCCTGCAGCGTACGTCGTCATGTGCTAAAATTAGCTTAGCGTGGCTAGCAGGTCTGTGTCGCTGCGCACTTGTGTAGCAACAGAATGGACTGTGGTTTGACCTTTTTCTATCCGTGTTCACACCTTGCTCTGGATTTAACTGCGTCGCCTGACGCAAGCCGTGGTGAACACAAGCGTTTTTTGCTTCTAACTGGCCGCAGACAGCGCGTTAGCTCGGCGCTAATGGCGAACAGCATTGTTCTCTGTGCCAAGAGGGGGGCCTGCTGTTGCTTCTGCTGCTGGTGTCACGTTTCACTAACCGCTACCGTTCAATGTAACGCCCCCTGGCGGCAGTAATGAAAGGAGGCACCTCGCTTGTAAATGTGATGTCATCCCACAGCTGGCTTGTTTTTCATCTGAGCTTTGTGGCCCAAGCTTTATGATGAATGTAGGCATTGCCATGATGTTGAGCATCAAAATTCTGCCCATTTAAGGGTTTAGAATGGATCCGATTATTGGACTGTATTGGTTTAATTTTATAGACTAATAAAACAACAGAGAGCATTCTGCTTTAAAACAAATATGCACAAAGTGAATGTTTTTTCCTGATGAAACTGTTTAGTCCAATGAAGCCATACAATTATTTCAAGTCACTAATGGTTTCTGAACTTCTTTTTTTATCATGTAAACAGAGTAAGAAAAAATATATATATGCAATTTTCAAAAAATAGAAGCAAAAATCAGCGATCGGTTAGACTGATTGATTGAAATAATGGGCCTTAAAAAACTGTATTCTGCAATGAACACATTGTCTTGGAGACTAATTCTTTAGTATCTTTGGATATATTAACATGATTTACTTATGTTGTCTTGAAGCTGTTTTTATTTTTCTAAATGGTACTGAGAGCAGGTAGTTATTTTAAATAAATGAAATAGGTCTGAACTTTTAATACATAATACAATTTGCATTTAATTATGTCGTGTTTCTCAAAACTGGTACAAATGTCACTGATGCTTGGATTGGAGAATGACATTAAACTCAGGAGTTTAAGGGTTAAGGTTTGATTTACAGAAACACTTTGGTTTGCTGATTTGTTTTTGTTTTTTTAAACCACAAATAAAAGATATTAAATATGATTTATGCAGTTTAGGAGGATAGGACTATGAAATGTCCCATAAGTAAATGATAAAAGTGACATAACATGACAAAAAGATTTTTTTTATTAGTTTCAGAAATCAGATGTCTCCCAGTGAATGTTGGAGCAGGTGGGGCTTCATCGTTTAAAGATTTTACACCAGTTTGCTTTTCAAAAATTCAAACAAACAAATGCAAATCCGGCTTCGTGCTGTTTTTCTGTCAAGTCTTTGTTTGAAACTTGGTGAGCCAGAAACTAACAAATACATCCCATCAATGCTATGTTATATTAGGGCTGAAACCATTAATCCTGATCAATCAACTCATTTAGTAATTGATTAATCGTTAACTGTAGTATAAAGGCTATAAAACATGCCCTTAGCTGACAGAGCAAAACAAGTGGTACTGTAATTATAGCAAAATAGCAAAAAATATATATCTAACCAATTTGCTTTTAAAATTAAAGTTTTTGTTCTGTCAACAGATTCTGTTGAGTTAAATCAGTTTCCAAAATTTTGCTTAGTTGCAATATATATATATATATGTGATTTGTGGTATTACAGGGTTTTTTTCAGCTGTGATCAAGCACTGAATCCAAAACATGTCTAGTTTAAACGTATGTTTAGTTTAAACAGCGTAGAAGAGCTGTTGGGTGTCCTCTGTGACAGGGAGCGTTTGTGGCTACGTGAACCGTGTTGTGTCTGACCTTCTGACTGAAGCCTTGCAGATCCTGTTCTTCAGGTTTGGTCTGACCGTTTATGTCGTTAATGGTGCCCCCGCCCCCTTCATTGTAAGTAAGAGTGAGCATTTTACAAGCATAGTGTCTGATGTTGTGAGGGTGACAGAGATCAGCCTGTGTGGAGATAGACGTCAGGATTGCAAGGTGGTCACCATCAAAGCTGCAGGTTTAAGGTTCCAAACATGGCCGTCAGGCTGCAGACACTATCAGCTGCACACTAATCTGCTTTTCAGTTTTTTTTGTTTGTTTTTTTTAAAGGACCTTTTCTTTGAAAGCTGTGTTTTTTTGTTTTTGTTTTTTTGTATTTATTATGGGTATAAATAACTACAGCTCTTATAAAAGTAATGAAAAACGGCACCTGCAAAAATATATAATTAATTAAAAAAAAAAAAAAAAATATATATATATATATATATATATATAAACATGCAGTTATACTAATCTTGCATGCCACAATTTTTCCATTTGCTCTTTTAATGTCCACATAATGTAACTTGGAATCTGCTCCAGTTTTTACTTGAGGAAACTTGGTTGTCACCATCACTGACTTTGAGGGGTGAAAAAAGTGATGCGCTTTTTTATAGAACTTTGCAAATGTAGTTTGACTTTTGGCAGAACACTTGAACCTGGTCGTCTGCAGCTGCTTCCCTTTAGTTTAAGCCTGTATTCAGCTCTATCTTCCACCCATCTAGACCAGCTTCCTGTTCGTTTAAAGAAAAGCTTCCCTGCAGCGGGACGCTGCCATGAAAACAGTGATTTACACTGTTAGGGTTCAGAGGTGGACTCTGTTGACTAACTTCTTATAGATTTTTATTTAGGGGCATCAGTTATGGGGGGGCTGAGCAGAAATGCACCTATCCCATCATTTTTGTGTGTGTAGTTTTAATTTATACACCCTTTTCTTTCAACTTAACATTTATGCTCTACTTATTGTTTTATGACAAAAAAAGACAAATGGAATAGATTAAATTGATCTGAGAAAGTTTTGAAACGGTCAACCTGATTCAAGTCTGCCTGTGATTAACAGAGACCTCTGTCACTTTATGGTTTTAATCTTCCTTTGATTTCTTACAGCTTAGCAAACATCCCCCTCAGTCCTGAGACAGCCCAGGACCAGGAGAGACGGATCCGCCGGGAAATCGCCAACAGCAACGAGCGGCGGCGTATGCAGAGCATCAACGCTGGATTTCAGTCGCTCAAGACGCTGCTGCCACACACTGACGGCGAGAAACTCAGCAAGGTGTGTTTTACTGCTCTGCTAAAGATGAGAAGCTGCACTCTAAATGCCAGTTGGTGGATTTTACTTTTAACGTTTGGTGTTAGAAATGTATTTAACCTTCCTAATGCTCACGGGTTCTCTCTCTGCCAGGCGGCCATCCTGCAACAAACAGCAGACTACATCTTTACCTTGGAGCAGGAGAAAACCCAGCTTCTAACCCAGAACAACCAGCTGAAGCGCTTCATCCAGGTAGCGGCATGTACAACGTTTGAGCCAAACTTATAGCACAGAATCAATTTTTGCATCCAATCCCACAGAAAATTGCGTCAGACGAGGTCGTGGTGTTTAGCACTCATTGAAAGTCAGTGGGGATGATCACAACCAACACGGTTTTACACAAGCGGCTTGCATAAATCAGACTGAGATGGAGCTTAGGACTGTTTTAGTTGAATTACGCAGCAATTCAGTGGTGATTTCATGGGTCTAACAGGAAGAAAGACGTGGTTACAAAGTAAAACACATCTGCTTTAGGAGGAAAATACAAAATATAATCTGTTAATCGCACGGAGGAAGAGTCAGTTTTGGAGTCGCATAGAGCACCAAGGAAACAGACTTGTGCGAAAAAAACAATCAATGAAACATTTAAAAAAGAATAATTTACCTATGATATGAGTTTAGGTGCACAGAAAACGGATAAAGTAGTGATTCCCTTTAAGCCTTGCAAAAAAAAAGGACAGAAGGTGCAGTTTATCACTCTCCTCATATAGTAAAATAGGGATCCTCTTTGAGCAAGGAAAACAAAATGTCTAGGTGCAGAGAGAGCAGGCAAATGAAGCTCATCTTTCTCCACTCTTCATAAAAAGAAAAAGAAAAGCAAAAACTTCAACAAACTTCTCAGATCTTTCTCTGAGAATCAGCTCTCTCTGCCTCAGTCAACATATAAACTGTCCCACAGTGTTCGTTGCTGCCTTTTTTCCTTTCTTTAGACGTAATTCTTGTGTTTTTGATGTATGCATATGAACATTCTCTAACTGTTCTGGTTTGAGATGCTGCAAAGACTTGTTAAGTGAAACTTTGCATTATAGGATGTGTCTGCGTTTTTATGTATTTTTTATTTATTTTGAAAAAAATTCAGAATCTGTCCAAGTCAAATTTGGGAAATTGTTTCATTTGTGTGCCACAAAGACAGAGGTGAAAATGATCTGAACAGATCTGTTCATCCTCTCTAGTCAGAGCTTCTCTCTAAGCAGTCACTGTGACATGGAACAAAATGGTATCAGACATTAAAAAGTCAGCTTGTTTGTCACCATTACAGATGCATTGGATCCAGCTGGTCACATCAGAACTGCAATCTTCTTCTCACTGTTTCACATTTAAAAGTCAGACTCGATGTTTTGTTTGAATTCAGTCTTGTCCTGAAAATGGAACATGATTAAAGTCAGGATTATAACATTAGTTCTAGATTTTTTGATATTGTTTTTATACAGGTAAGGCAATTTGTCAATGGAATAAAATAATTTGAGTTGAATGTATTTTGAGATTGAGTTTAAAATGAGGAAAAATCAACCCTGTTATTTTATTTCAAGTGCATAATATTTTATGCACTTGAAATAAAAGTGCACGAGGAAAACACATTATTTTGTTTTCCTGCTTAAATTAAACAAATTTGCTTAAATAAATTTTGGCAGTCTATGCTCTATTTTTACCTAAATAGTTTTTCACAGTTGGTAGGAATCCTTTCATGATCGCCTTCAGATCTGCTCTCAGCTCCTTTCACCACAGATGATATAGATTATCTTTCTAGAATATTCTCTCCTTCCTCCATTGGCACCTTCCACTGTAGCAGAGTTTGAGGCTCCTGTTGCAAAAAATAACCGCAGTTAAAGCTGTAACCAATGATTCTCTCAGTAAATCGACTTTTAAGTCTCAAGCAGGGTAACGACAAAGTCCCAGTTTTAACAACACAGACCTCTGTCAGCTTTTACAGGGGAGTCCGCTCCACTCAGGTTTCTGCTCTTTCCATAAACATGAGATGATTTCATGACGGTCAGAAATATTTCCCAACTGGTGAACTGGCTTTTCTTGTAAGAGAGGGAGAAATCTTTCAGCCAGCTGACTGGCAGTGTGACGAGGGCTTTGGTTCTATGTTTTATTATTAAATGGAGAAACTTGGATCAGGTTGGCGGTTTTTATCTGCATGAGAGTTTTAAATTGGAAGGAGGAATTTTGGGGTCGCAAACTGCGGGGTTAATAAACTTTGGTATACTTTAAAAGTCAGTAACCAGGAGAAGTGGGAGAATTCATATATACAGCAATTTTTTTTTGTTTTGGGGTTTTTTTTTTTTTTGTTTGCTTAATGAACAAATTTAAATGGAAACCGAATTTAGCTTAAACAGCAAGGAGAAAAAAGACATTTTAGGGGAACTCTCCAAACAACATCAAATGCAGAGCTGGTTTCTTTTCCTCTGAGCGTTCAGCCAGACGGAGCAATCTGATGCCTTTGATTGTTTGGAATTACTGACAACCATATAGTTTAAAAAGTCCTCCACCAGAGGCCACCAACTGGTTAGACGAGAAAGGATCTGCAGCAGAACTAGTCTGACAAAAATGTCCCATATCCAGCTGGAGGTTTGATGATTGGCAGGTGTTGTTATTGGAGCGTGTGACTGTGTGTTATGAGCCTTGGTAAGGATTTGGGTAGATCTGATCTTTCCCTCCCTCTCAGGTCCCGTTATTCCTTTAAAAGTCCTTATTTCTGTGTTGGTTTGTTCATAATGCTTGGTCAGGATTTATCTGAAGAATTTACTGATGTACGATTCATTGTTTTCACAGGAATTTAGCGGCTCGTCACCCAAAAGGAGGCGTGCTGAGGAGAAGGATGAAGGGATCGGGTCCCCGGACACGCTGGAGGAGGAGAAGGTGGAAGAGCTGAGGAGGGAGATGATCGAGCTGCGGCAGCAGTTGGACAAGGAGCGATCTGCCCGCATGCAGCTGGAGGAGCAGGTGATCTCAGCTGTGCGTTTAATTATTAAACTTCTGCACTCTCACCCTATATTTAACTAGCTGTGCATGCATGAAAGCCGCTCAGACAATAGGCTCTTAACCCATGGTTTAGAAAAGCAAACACCAGAACATAAAACAGATTGTAGTGCTGACACATTTATCAGAGCGGCAGCCGGCTGCTGATTGGATCACATCCTGGATCTTCCTGAACATCAGGTTAAAGCAGCAGGTGCTGCACACAAACAGAAAGTCAAACAGTCAGTTAGAATGATGGGTAAACATTAACGGCTGTATGAGTTTAATCATACTGACACAGCCAGCGTCTCAAATAAAAACGTTAATAAAAGCTTTAGATCTTTAGTCTAGCCCCCCGCAATTTCAGATACAGGTTTATCTGTTATAATGAAATCTAAAGCAGTCATTGCTGCTTGCAGGTGCGGTCGCTGGATGGCCAGCTGCATCCGGAGCATCTGAAGGTGATCACCCAGCAGGTGGAGGAGGAGCAGGCACTCATCCAGAGCCAGACGCTGCTGCGGCTACAACAGATCCACGCCGCCGCTGCTGAAAGGCAGACACACAGTCCTCAGGTCAGAAACCCACTCCTCTAGGTCTGCATGCTGCACATTACTCAGCTTTAGGGCAACATGAGGCGGCGTCTATTCACACCTGACAGCCTCTGCCTAAGCAGACCAGAGAGTGAACCCACTTTCTGAGATCAGACTGTGGTGCAAGTCTCCTTCTGTGTGAATGTGGACCAGCCTCCATGACTTAATGAGTCCGGGACCTGTAGTGACAGTGAATGTTGGACTGAAACTGAAGTCCTTCCTGATCTGTTGTGTTTTACTTAAAGCTGCTGGCAGCCTGCGTTCATCAGCGCTGTTTAAAGACTAGAAAGAGAACGATTAATCTGGACATTCACAGTGAAGCTGCAGCTGTAATAACTGCACAGAAATAAAGCACCCAGGGTTTCCATTGTAGCTGTCCTCCATTTTCCTTTGTGTCTCACATGGATTTGTTTACAAAGTATTATTGATAAATAAAGTCCACATTTGGTCCAGGCTAAATGAACCAACCACAGATCCTTCCTGGTCTGAATAAAAAAATTATTTAATTAAAAATCCAGGATCTTCAGATTTGGTTTCATTGTGACCTTCTGTCTTTCAGGTGCTGGCTCCACCCACTCCGCCTGCCCCCACCCACCACCCCACGGTCATCGTCCCTGCTCCAACACTAAACCAGCACCACCACGTCACCGTGGTGACCATGAGCCCTTCTGCCCACACCAGCACGGTGTCCACTTCCAGACAGAACCTGGACACCATTGTGCAGGTTAGAGCTTGTTTTACCCTTTAAAAAGGAAATCCAGCAGGTCAAAGGTCAGGTCCGAAGGAGCAGGAGAGGATCCTTTAAGGCTGGTTTATGCTCAGAAACCAGGTCGTCTTTGTGTGTCGCCCCCGTCCCTTCTGCAGACACTCTGCTGCACCTCTCCAAAATTGTATGTCGCTGAAGACAGGAGGCATCTGATTGCATCCGCTTTACACTATGCGTATTTCCTGTTTGGTACCTTACTGGCTTGTTGTTTGTGTGACAGCCATTGTGGAAAACGACTCGTGAAGATGGACCAGCTAAAAGAGCGAGGTGCGCGAGAATGCCGGGACCCTTTTTCCACCTGGATCCCCGCTCTTTTTCGCCCTCACGTCCCTCCGTTGTCCCACAAACCTTCCCCCACTTCCTCACCTCCTCAGCCATATCTAGACCCACAGCTAGTTCCTCATTGTCTCTCTTGCGTTGTGGCGTGGAATAACAGCGCAGACCAAGCTTCAATATTGGGTATAAATCAAAAATATCTGCTTCATACTGTCAACAAGCTCACTGCGACACACTGCAGGAGTATAACCTGCCCTTTAGAATCAGGTCAGGATCAGGATTCCAGCTCGTCTCGTCCTCTGGTGACTCCTTACACTGGGGATAAACATCTATGAAACCCATTTAAAGCCAGAATAAGTTCTAACCAAATTAGGGCTGTTGTAAACGAATATTTTAGTAATCGAGTAATCTATCGATTATTCTTACGATTAATCGAGTAATCGGATAAAAAAAATTTATAAAATAAACTATTGGCAAATCTGCAATAACACCAGTTAGTCCAGATCAGTCCAATATCTCCTTTTTGAGCATCCCTAACAGTTAAATGTTTGTAGTTTAGAAAGTTTACTTGTAACAGTAGTTTGCTTTAACTTGAAGAAAAGTTATAAGATATTAAATTATATTCAAATAATAAAGTGGCAGGCTCATAAATATGCTTATAAAAATGTCTAAATGTAAAGGTTTGAGTTTGTACAGAGTTCTGCAGCCTTAACTAGTCATGATAAAATGCAAAAATGTTGCTATTTTTATTAAAACGATGCTATTATTTATTCTTGATTGCTTAGGTATAAACAAATATAGAATTACTACAAAAAATATTAATCAAAAATTTCTAATTCATACATAACAGTAGCGAGAAGAAAAGACTGTAACTTTTCAGGATGGAAAGACACCAATAAATAAATGCTTTTCAGCTTATGCCTGTAATCTGTTGCTGCGTATTTTTATTAACAAACTTACATTAAGTCCTGCATAATTTCTCTCAGTTCCACCCTCACATACAATTTACACTACACCCGGTTAAGTAACCGCTATGTTTAGATGTAACGTTAGCAAAATAATGTGCCTCAATTTACATCTATAACATGGCAGATTATCACACAACGTAGTTAGCAAAGAGAACATAAACGTTACCTGTTGGCAACCGTGTACGAGTTGGATGCATGTAGCGGGTGTTTTCTCTTCAGATGCTGCAACATTGATGTCGTGCTGTTGTGGTACGCCAATTCTGCTTTGCAGTGGATGCATTGCGCTGTGTTGTCCTTTCTGTTTAGCCTAAAATGTTCCCAAACTTTGGACATTTTTTGTCGCTTTCGGGGTTCTCCTTCTGAGCTTTCTCCGGTTCCCTCCATAGCTACAAACTTAGCACAAGCGCGCCAGGCGCTAACGGAAGTGGTAGCGTTGTGCAACACAGAAACCCTCCGGCTAGACCAGTGTGCTGCGTATTTAACAGCATTGCTTATTACAATACAATAAATTTAGCGAAGCTTCGAGGCAGATAAATTTCCTCGAGGATTTTTTGTAATCGAGTTACTCGAGTTACTCGATGAATCGTTTCAGCCCTAAACCAAATCCTGTTTCACCTGATCCAGAGAAACGATAGTCGCATTTAAAGAGTACACAGTCCTGAAGAGCTCCGATTCTGTCATCCGTTTTGAGCATTTTAATACTTGATTAATCGTAATTATTTAAAAAACTATTCAGCTAATTTAGTTATCCATTCTGACTAACTCTTAAACTGCTAAACATGTACCAGAAACTGTACCAGAGAATATAAAACAATTTTATATGAGATGTAAAACCTTTGTTTTTCATGCATGCTCTTTATAGAACATTATTTTGATTTACTTGGTTCAGGTTCTATAACACAAATCTTCTATTTAGAAGCTTTTGCTAATAATTGACACTTACACTGTTGTTTATTTAGAGCCGGATTCTGGGCATTAAACTTTGGTTTGGTTTTACATATTGTGTTACTTACAGAGCTTTTAAAATGTGCTGGTTTTTAATTGTTATATGTATGGGAATTTAATTAGAGAACCTCTTTTTTTCTTTTTTGTATTAATGAAAAATATAAATAAGTCATTAGATCCCCGTACAAAATGTCACCATTTGACTGTTTTTCTCCTGTAACCTTCAGAATCACTTTAGAAATGTAACACGACTCTCAATGCAGCTAACATTAGCTACGCCGCATTGCAAACAGGTTTGCCTTTTCCTTCAGGGAGTCATGAAAGAAAAGTTACATTAAACTGGATTTATAAGCAGATGTTGACTTTTTAGGGGATTTGGTCTTAAACTTTGGATCAGCCATTGATAATTTTTTTGCCTGCTCCAGTTTCTCTTTCTAAACTTTAAAACCGGGTTGTACCTCAGGTCGTTAATGTCAGTGTTCGATACGGTCGATGCCGGCCGTTGCTCCTGTGTGATCATGGTTCGCCATCGTGACGATATTCTGTTGGGTTCTCATCCTCTCAGGCCATCCAGCACATCGAGCGTACTCAGGAGAGAAGGGCCAGCGTGGAGGACGAGCAGAGGAGAGCCGTCATCGTCAGCCCCACCCACGTCGCCATGGACACCGCCTGCTCAGACACAGACACGGACACAGAGGGCGAAGACTGTTTGATGAACTGAGCCGCCCCAATGAACTCGTGCCACCCCCGCTCCACCACACGCGCACAAACACTTAAAACACCTACTCACTGTAAGATTCCCTCCAGGAGCTTGACTACTCTCGTAAATCTGTCCTTGGCATTACCTAAACTCCTAAATCCAGTGGTTTAAGCTCTGTGTCAGGTCTTGTACTGTAATTTTTCTGAGTATTGAAGAGGTAGGAGGGTCAGCGTGCAGAGGAAGATCTGTAGGATCTCTACACTCTGCAGCCACTTGAATAATCCAACGTTTTTCTAGTGAGGGAGAAAAAAAAAATAAGCTGTCGGCCAATCATGTTTATTCCTTGTGCTTCTCATGCAGCCACAGCGCCATCATAGCCCATCTTCTGTCACTATAACAGTGTAACTACAATCTAATGGAGTCGGTTTATCACAAAGTTGAAGGTAACAGTAAAGTAAACGAGGAGATACCTTATTAAGATGCAAAACAAGGATTTGTTATTTGTTTCAATATATTTTTAGTGGCTGTGAATTAATTAAGCTAGTATAAATTTCAGAATTTGAAGATATACAAACTCTGATTTACTTGAAAAAGAAGCTGTTTTTCTAACTCTAAACAAGCCCTTGGAAATAAGCTGAATGCCTTTTCAGGTCTTTCAGTTTGGTGGTTTATTTGCTTTGTGTCAGGGTCACCAAAAGCTGAAGGTTACTATTTTTTATAATTTAAAAAAACAACTTAAAGGACTTTTTTTTTTTTTTTTACCACTTAGAGCTTCTTTCTTTATTCTCATAAGAAGGGGAGGGGGGGGCACCAACATGTTTTTAACTTGATATCAGCGCATCGTCTAAAAACATTATGGTGCAGCCTTTTTTTTGTAAATATAGGATCAATCCAAGACAGTTTGACTGAATCATCTTTTGAATCTGCAAATATTTCCAATAAATTTGGAAGCAGATGGGCATAAATCGCTTCTCCAGCATTTCCCCCAATAGGCCTGGATCCACCATCTGGTCTCAGTGACTATGCACTAGAGATGTTGGGATTTATGCAATTCCATCTTTTGTACTTCTGTCCTTGTTTCTTTTATTTTATTTTTTTGTGGTTGCCATCATTAATCCATACGGCTAAAGTTCTCAATGCACCGTGTTTGAAACTTGACACGTTTAAACGGAAGAATGTAGTACTTAGGAGGTGTTTTATTTTTCAATCATCACCACGGTGATCTGCAGCGAGCTGAGGCCAAACATACCTGCAAAAAGTCCCTTTTTCTTGGTCTTTCTTGCATATTTAATTTCAATAATTTTACTTTGAACTCAACAACAGAGGAAATAGATTTATGGGGTTTACATTGCAAAATTTATACAATAACTTGATAGAACCAGCAATAGATTCTCGTGATCTGATTTAGCTAAAAATGATACAGTGTCACAGTTTTTGCACATTTTCTTTTCTTTAACAACAGCAACAATTCCTGCTGCTGAGATGTGCAAGCTGTCCTTATGCCAGCTTTCTGGCAGGGCACAGAAACGGGTGGGGGTGGACTGCTGTATATTCTGTGCTACATTTGCAAAGTCTAAAAAATTGTTTAGTAAGACTAAAACGAGTAGAAATCCCCTCCTGTAGGAGTTAAATATCAGCACAAGGCTAGGACAGGTTGGAGATCCCAAATCCCCGTTTGCTTTCATTTAGAAAACGGCAGAAATTATGTAAAAAATATTATAAAAATGTTTTTAAAAATTCTGTCTTGTGGCCTTAACTCCTTTTAAAACGTCTGTTCCTTCATACAAGTTTAACCAGGTTGTGCCTCCATTTTGGCCATTTCCAAATTTATTACTTGGAGCAGCAGTTTGGGTTGTTGTTTTTCAAGCATAAAAATAATGTGACACTTTGATTAGTTTCATTAAAAAAATGAATTAACTGTTGAATTTAACTGATGATCCCCCAGCGATTGATTTCCACTCATCAGAAACACACAGGAAAGCTCTGAAGAGAATTGCATATGTGCCACTTAAAACCCTCACAGCCCCATATCTCCGGGTTTCTCTTTGAAATGCCCCAAGTCTGTGCACCTCATGTTACTTTGCGCGTGTTTCTGCTGGGACTCTAACTGGAAACCCCTGTTAGGAGCCTCTCTCCTGTCATACTCGATTGGATCCGCTGATTTGATGCTGTAAACATTCCTTCGTTTGGATCTGTTTTTGTCTTTTGATGTTGTGTGTTCTGTTGCCAACCAAATGCATCTTATTTTTCCTTGTCTTAAGTAGGGATTTTTTTTTGTTTTTTGTTTTGTTTGGCATGTTTGGACTTTATTCATTCATTCACTTACCAGCTGGTTAGAGTAGTTTTTCATGCCAAACATGGGGAGGGGGATTACATATTTTACTCTACAGCTTTGTTAAAGGGTTTAGTGTTGTGCAGATCAGTGATCCACAGCCTAAATGTTGGTGAGCTTACCATTCGGAGAAGCGCCTCACCCTTTGTTCCTCTACATTTGTTGGCAGCACGGCTGTTCTGTGATGGATTTTTAACATTTTTTTATGAATATGAAGCACTTGTTCTGTACTGCCTAAATCCTGTTTTCTGTTCTTTTTCTGCTACATTTTATGTTTTCTAAGCTCTTTTCTGTGATGCAGTTTAACATCTGTCGTCGTTCAGCTGTTTACTTTTATTTTGTCTCCTGTTTCCCAAATTATAGTGACAAGCCGTTTTATATTTTGCGTGACTTAATTTTTTTTTTCTCATCAGTCCAGGGCAATGCCAAGCTGTTATATTTTGTTTATTAAAAAAAATTGGGTGAACCGGCCTTTGTAAAAAAAAAAAAAAAAAAAAACATGAAAAAAAATAAACTTTGTACTTTTTTATTACACTCTTGGTTTTCTTGACTTTTTTTTAAATCATATGATGCTGTCCACTAGGTGGTGACAATTTTACATTTTAATAAGATGCATCATTCAAGGGATGTTTACAAAGAACAGATAAACTTAATCTAGGTTTTGCAAAACATTACTTTTTTTCCTTGATTCCAAAGAGCTAACACTGCTATCCTGCCATTAGCTCTCCTGTCACAAGACAGCTGATTTGCAAGGAGACAAAAGGTTTAAAAAGTTGTGTTCTTCTTTTTTTGGTGCAAATTACAGTGATCAATAAATGAAATACTAATATATATTTCAGACACATGTTTCTTATTAAAATAAGGAATTTCTGTGCCATTTTGTCAATAAAGTTACTGTTAAATAGCATTTAAATATCAGCGTTATGAGGGAATGACAGTCCAAATTCTGGCCAAGGGACAAACGATATGTAGCGAAAACGCTCAATATAAAACCTTGTTTAATATAAGAGAAATAGCAATTTATCATAAATGTTTTGTAAATTCATTTTTGTGTCTAATAAGTCCAGCATGAATAAAGATGACAGAGGTGTTTCTGACTGGGACACCAATTCTTTGATTGGAATCCTGAGTTTCTGTGTTTGAGCCCCACTCCCACAGACTGCCACTCTGGGTCCCTCACCAAGACCCTTAACCCCACGTTGGACGCTGCACGATGGCAGCCCACTGTTCCCCAAGAGGATGGGTTAAAATCTAGACAGTTAATTTCATTAATCTGTACTTGTGACAGTGTAATGAAAATAAAAAAAAAAGCTGCAACTGATGGGGATCTGCCCTGTTCTATGGTGAGGGTGCTAATTGGTTATTTTGGTTTGGACTGGGCTGATCCCTGTGATAAATGTTTGGTTTGCGCCCAGGTTAATAAAAAAAAAAGGGCTTTGATGTTTTGTTTTACTAAAGATGAGGACCCAAAATGTGACATAAACCAAACTAATCAATAAAAATTAAAACAGACCATCGGCTGCAGCTGGAATGAGGAAGATAGACTCTGATAAAATTAAACAGAATGATTGAAAACTCCTTGTAAGGTGCTAATCTGGTGCAGGGATCAACAAAGGTTTGCCTAAAGTTGTTTTTAGAACTGACCTTTAGTTTATACATTCAGATAGTTATTGTAAGTAGAGTTAGAAGCTTTTTGCTGTTTTATGGTTGTGATTTATGAGCATAGACTTCCAGCTTTTGGACCACACAGTTTAGATATATGAAAGTTCCTCATAAAAACAATAAGAGGCCGTAAAAGGAAAACTGAATGAGATTAGATCTGCATGATCTGAGAATGATGGAGGAAGAGATAACCACTTGTTTAATGCTCATTTATTATATTGTTAATTTATTGCTCCAAATATTGTTCAGTATTAAATCAGATGATCGCAGTAACCCCAGTATTTCTTCTAAAAATGGCCAACTTCAAACAGTTGTGTGAAACAAGAATCTTGTTTTAACTTTAAATTGTAAGGTTTCATGTGTTTTCAAACACTAATGTGTTTGAAAGGGATTTTGATTGTATTATGTCTCTGTTTTAGATTAGTGCAAGATTAATAGAAGAGGAGACGAAGAAGATTAGAAGATTGAATGAGAGCAGAGAAGCCACAAAAAAAAGAAATCTACTTAAAAGAGTTAAATAGAGACCAGGCAGAAGTCAGAAGAGCTAGAAAGAAAAGAAGATGGAGAGGGAAGAATACAGAAAAGAGTGAATGTGGCACTAGTAAACACTATCAATTGATCAATTTTATCAATCTAAGGAAATACTAATAGTATGGAGAGGCACAGTTCTGGGTTTTACACTTGATTATTGTTGTTTAAATATTAATAAATAAGTAAAAAATAGATGACAGCATCTCTGTCTCAATTTCCTTATTTAATTTCAATCATATGTAAAAGAAACAATATTCACCAACACCATATGGCTGCATTAAAATCTTTATCATCTTGGTACTTTTTTCTATTTTGTTTCTCACTAAAAGATTGCAAACATTAAATTCTGTATTTTCATTTGTATGATTATGGCTTACTGTTAATAACCACAAATTCAATAAATTACAAATATTTATTTATTATGCATTTAAATTTTTTTTTTGTCAAAGGTATCCGCCCAGCCATTAATATAAACAATATCTGGTGTTTTAATCACTTCCATGGTCACAGCTGTATAAAATCACCTATACATAGGTGTACGTTTATTTGTATAATTCGGTTCAGTACAAGGACAATTCAAAGTGCTTTACATTAATTAAGCATTATAAAAGGGAAATAAAAGCAGGATAAAAACAAACGAAGATAAAAGCATGACCAAAGCAGGCAGTGTAACAGTTGGACCACAACCTTAAACTAAAAATACCTCAGTTAGCAGTTAAGTCAGCTCTAAACAAATTTGTTTTTTAACTTTGACTTGCAGACATGAATGGTCTGGGAGGTTGATACACTGATAACAAATCTGTTATTTATTTGATGCTGATCCATTCAGTGATTTACAGACTAACAGAAGGATTTTAAAGTCTATTCTCTGAGCTACAGGGAGCCAGTGTAAGGACTTCAGAACCGAGCTGATGTGCTCTACTTTCTCAGTTCTAGTGAGAACCCTGGCAGCAGCGTTTTGGATCAGCTACAGCTGTCTGATGGACGTTTTAGGCAAACCTATAAAGACACTGTTGCAGTGATCAATTCTACTAAAGACATATGCAAGAACTTACTTGTACATTAGTCTTTTAATCCTGCAAATTATCTTCAGAAAAAAGGCTGACAGAGTAACTGCTTTTATCTGCCTCTGAAGGTTCAGGTCTGAGTCCATCCTGACACCAAGGTTTCAGCCATAGTAGTAGCTGAAGCTGTGAGATAACTCTGGATCTCTCTTCAACTGGTTTGAAGATTATTACCTCAGATTTGTTTTTTATTAAGTTGGAGAAAATGACGGCGTATCCACATATTGACCTTTTCTTAGCATCTAACCAAATAATTTTCACCTGGTGACATTCTGATGTAAAGCCGTGTGTCGTCTGCACAGGTATGGTAACTAATCTTGTTTGCTTTAATCTGAGTCAGTGGGAGCATGTAGATGTTGAATGTGGGGAAACATAGAAGTCCCTATCCTTCATGTATCCTTAATGTATAAACAGTCCAGTGTGGTAAAAAGAAGACCGACCCAGTTTTCCAAGCTCTCTAGTACAATCAAGTGATCAACAGCACCAAACGTTGCCTTTAGGTCCAATAACACCAGCACCGTGGTTCTTCCACAGTCTGAATTTATACGGATGTCACCTGTAAAGTTTCCTTACTCTTAAATAGCCCTCTGTACAGTCAGTGGTATTGTAACTAGGTGGATGTGGTTGTGAATGACTTCAGTTCTTACATACAGTGATATGCCACATTAACTATGAGCATGAGCAGCAGACGCTGCATCCAAATATGACATTGCCAGGTACTTTACAAGGTGGTGTAAAGCAGCGGTCCCCAACCTTTTTTGCACCACGGACCGCTGTATGTCAGAAAATATTTTCACGGACCGGCCGGGGGGGGGCGGGGTGATACCATCAAGTAAAATGATAAAATCAAATACAAACAGCCGGTCCCATCTATCTAGGCGTAATCGGAGAAAATGACAGACGAAGTGTGCTCCTGATGTCCAGTCTGCTCCGTAGCTTTGTTTTGGTCACTGTAACCGCAGAAAATCCCGCTTCACAAAGATATGATGTTATAGATAGGATGAATCTTGAACTGAATTAACCTGTGTCAACAGGCACAGATGCACCGACTGATGTAATTGGGAGAGAACACCACAATTTTTGATTTTTTTCAAAATAAATTTTATATATATATATATATATATATATATATATATATATATATATATATATATATATATATATATATATATATATATATACATATACACTTTATTCTGTGCGGCCCGGTACCAAATTACCCATGGACCGGTACCGGTCCACGGCCCGGTGGTTGGGGACCGCTGGTGTAAAGTACCTGCCATTGGACCCTAGAGCAATGGAGGGTGTTCTATGGAGGGTTCAATCACGCCTCTTTATCTGACAATTTGATGTTTAAGTCTTGGTTTGGTGGTTGCCAGAAGAAAAATTCTTGTCTGACTGCATGAATGTTGTGATTACGTTGTGGAGTTGTTTTTCAGGAGCTGGGATTTATCGCCGAGTTCCAGGGAACAGAAAACTAAATTATTCAGAGAGATATCAGACACATCCATGCTCCCATGCTGTTTGGGGATGGCCCCTTTCTCTTCCAACATGTCTTTCAAAGATATGGATGACCATGGCTAGACTTCATAGCAAAGTCCTGGCCTTAACCCAAAATAACATCTTAAGGATGAATTAGAGATGAGTCAAGCCCTCTTGTCCAGCTTCAATCTATAACATCTTTAAAGGTCTCTTGAGGAATGTTTAAATATTCGAAGAACCCTGTTACTAAACCTTAGGGAGAGCTTTTCTAGAAGAGTTAAAGCTGATATAGCTTCAAAGGGTGGACCAGCGTATTACTGAACTCTGTGGATTAGGAATGGGATGTAAACTGAGTGTATTTGTGAGCCCCAGCAGGTGAGTTAATACTTTTACATAGAAAGCTAAGTGTTGTAGGAAGATGTGCCCCATAAATGACAACCACAGCATTCAGAGCACTGTTAAACAGAAATAATTTATAGATTTGGGAATTTTCAGAGCATGCACACGAGGGAGTGTGGTAAGGGAAACTATGTACAGATATGGGCTACAAATCTCAGAAATCCTCGTGTCAAGTCACTTTTTAACCAGACTTCTCTCTTACAGTCCAATAGGATCAAAAGCAGACTGTATCCAAAATCCTCTACTTAAATGAAAGTAAAGTTAACATGCAATTTGTAAAAAAAAAAAAAAAAAAAAAGGTCCTGGAATG